AAAGTACTTTATACACCTCTGATGATTATCTACTAACAGTTAGACAAACAATTGATAAATCAGTGCAATGATGATATAAAATGAAGACATTTTTTGGACCTACCTCCTCTGAATCATGTCCTCACAGAGGGAACGAAATCATTATGAGAAAACAAACGTGTTTTCTCAGGTTTCTTTAATTCCAGGGAAGAAGCGTAGAGTCAGGAGTTTGTCAGGAGTTTGTGTTGACGTGTTTTCCCTCTGAGACCCCCCCCCCTCTCTGTGTGCACGTGTGCGTGTGTGTGTGTGTGTGTGTGTGTGTGTGTGTGTGTGTGTGTGTGTGAGAGAGAGAGACTCAACTGTAAGTCCCTCATCGGTGGCTGTAAACAGCTGACGCCTGAGAGGGAGGCCATCTGCTCCCAGAACTACACTGCTGCCAAGTCCAAGGCCAAGTCAGTTTAACACTGCATGCCCAGTAAGAGCACTGCTTTATTTGACTCAATTCAAGTTTTTATTAAGGTAAAAATATATATAKCTTGAGACAAAAGGATGTGGACTTTGACCACATTTGTTTCTGCTCTTTTGGGACTTTCCAAAACTGTTTAATTGAATGCATTTTTTTATTGTAGCCTGTGTAAAGAAAACATAAATAAATTCTGGGTATGTGTTTTAGCTGGGTCAATTGCCTAATTTTAGCGCTGGCCGTATATTTTATGGGCCACAACATTTTTTGGTGAGGATATGTTTGGAAACACAAGTTAAAGAAAGGCAAACAGATCCCCTGAACTTTTTTTTAGAGTTTCTTTTTTGATCTGAACATCATTTGGACTTTAATTGACTTCTGTGTAAAACATCTGTATGCATTTACAAAAACAAAAGTGTTTCAAGGTTTTTCCTAAAGCTGGATAAAGTAGATACATTAAAGTCTTGGCAACATGTATTTGCTACATTATTTTTTACAAAATCCACTCAAACAGCAGGAAGCTCAGCAGGTAAGTTAGAAAATGACAAACAATGAAGGTCAGAAAAAAGTCTAAATGGGAAAAATGAAAAGTAAATGTGTATCGCCCATCACCTTTTACACCAGCAGTTCAAACTAACTGCAGTACATGTTGTTCTGTAGGTGATAAGTGGAGGTCTTGATGTGTGCAGAGTTTTCCCTCATTGTGATTTTGACTTGYCTTGTGGGGCAACTAATAATATGAKTTCTTGACTGTCTATGTACAGTTTRAAACAGAACAATGACTCAAATAAAAATTCCTGTGAACACRTAAACATAATTTATTGACTTAAAATTTTGTGCGGCAAGCACCTTCCTGTTTCAAATCATGACTAATATTAAGTGATATTCATCTTTAGCAGTCCTTTTACAGGGTGATTAGGGGTGTTTTGCACTAGCCAAACTGTTACATGTCCCATCACATGCACAGCAATCAAATATCATGCAGCTAGCACCTTCCTGTCTGGAGTTATGACTAAAATTCCTGCTCAACTCAACCAAGCCCAGCTGCCCCAGCTGCCCCAGCTGCCCCCAGCTGCCCCCAGCTTCTTTAAAMCACACCATCAATCCAACCAACCATGTCTTGGGCCAACTCCTCCCACAAAATAAGAAACTCCTACTTAGGGACTGCAAACAGTGTTGCATAAATCACCACAAAGTGATACTTGAGTAAAAGTGCATGTATCTTACCAAAAAATTACTTTGGTAAAAGTTAAAGTCTCCTTTCCAAATATTACTTGAGTAAAACTATTAAAGTATCTGATATTTTTTGTACTTAAGTATTAAAAGTAAAAGTATTGATTTGAAATGAGCAGTTAGATTTTCTGTAAGGACGTTTATTAGGAGGTGACCTCCACAAAAAATGCAGAAATGACTGTGTTGTGTTAAAACTAGACACCGCGTAGTGGTAACATAATGAGCCCCGCACACACAAATGCACCAGAACTCAGAAGTCTTCTTTCCTAATAAATGTCATGACACTAGATGCATCCCAAAATTGTAGTGGTTTTAGTGGGGGTCTTTGTTTTCTTTTTTTTGGGGGGTGGGGTGGTGGGGGACATTGGTTGACCTGACAGATAGCCCCTCATCAGAGCTAAACGACCAACAAAAATCTGAAGCTCCTATGTTTAATAGGTTTTGAGCTATAACCCTTTTTGTATGTCCAGATACCACTTTTTCAGATAAAATG